TTCCCTTGTAGTTGATCCAGAGGCTAGACCTGATGCATAAATCTGTGGATTGGGCAGTGCAAATGCGTGCTAAGGGTTTTGGCTGCCTATTAGCCACCTAACCAGTTACAAGGTCCTGGATGTGATATATAATCACAAATATAATCATATTCACAACAGTAGTAGCAATAGAAATGATAATGATACATTGCAGATTTAGTAAGAATATCGTAAGCTCTTTTATGTAGGAATTACCTGTTTTTCCATGATGGCTCAAGGATTTGTGACTGACCTCTTCAACTCTGTCAGTGTGAGAAACACCACCTGCACTTTAAAGCATCAGAATTTGAAGGGTTCTTTTTGATCTTACTATTCCATTTGAACTTGTGAATTTGATCTGGAAAAAGATATTAACTCGTTCTCTTTCATAACCGAAGCATTTTCTGACACCATTATCTGTGCTTTTGCACTTCCCTTCCTAAAGCTTGCATCTGCCTTGCTGATTAAATATAGGTATAGACTACATGCCCCCTTGCATGCAATTAATGGGAGATTTCCAATTAAGGCCTGTTGCTTTGATTCCCAAAGCACTTCTTCAATCCAAGTAATATACACTTTAGAATCGGATGATGGCTCAAATACAAAGAAAGCAGCATCAGGGAAACATGGAAGGAACAGACTGTGTTTTCACTCACAAGTTTATTTGAAGCTGTGTACGCATATTAGAGATGCGGGTGGCGCTGTGGTCTAAACCACAGAGCCTAGGACTTGCCGATCAGAAGGTCGGCGGTTCGAATCCCCGCGACGAGGTGAGCTCCCATTGCTCGGTCCCTGCTCCTGCCAACCTAGCAGTTCGAAAGCACGTCAAAGTGCAAGTAGATAAATAGGTACCGCTCCGGCGGGAAGGTAAACGGCGTTTCCGTGTGCTGCTCTGGTTCGCCAGAAGTGGCTTAGTCATGCTGGCCACATGACCCGGAAGCTGTACGCCGGCTCCCTCGGCCTATACAGCGAGATGAGTGCCGCAACCCCAGAGTCAGTCACGCCTGGACCTAATGGTCAGGGGTCCCTTTACCTTTACCTTCTACACATATTAGCTACAATTCAAATCTATCCTGTAGTTCAGGGGTCAGCAAACTTTTTCAGCAGGGGGCCGGACCACTGTCCCTCAGACCTTGTGGGGGGGATGGACTATATTTTGAAAAATAATAATAAAATGAATGAATTCCTATGCACCGCAAAAATAACCCAGAGATGCATCTTAAATAAAAGCACACATTCTACTCATGTAAAAACACGCTGATTCCCGGGCCTTCCGTGGGCTGGATTGAGAAGGCGACTGGGCCGGTTCTGGCCCCTGGGCCTTAGTTTGCCTACCCATGCTGTAGTTTCTTGAGAAGTAGTGCAGTTTGATGCATTCCCCCCACCCACAGTTGCTGACTTTGGGCTTTTAAATTTCAGTAGCACCCTGTGTGATGCCCCACCTCTTGCCTTCCGTTGTAAGTCATTGTTGCGGCACCCCTTGTGGCACCCTCTCGGCTTGGAGCCCAGTGCAGGCAAACTGATCACATTCCCCTAAATCTGCCTCTGCCCCCCAAATCTGCTTTCATCCAAACTGAAATATTAAGCCACATTCAATCTGCAGTGAAGCCAGGGTGCGTACAGCTTGATGACAGCTTCAAGATGGGGAGTTTTGGGGTGCATGCATGGGTGTTTGCCAGAGTGGGGAAACCTGCCTAGTAATGCACACTGGGTGAAGACATCTCTGCCTCTTCTCCTGCCACTAGCAGGAGATCTAGAAGCACATCAAACCACACTAATGTGCACAACAATGTGCAAATGCAATTTGAAATGCAGTTGGGGGACGACCTGGCTGTCTTTTAAGCCAGAAACGTGAACACAGTCTGAGTTTCAGGTAAGAGTGGACTGGAAACTTTTAGTTCTTCTATCATTCTGTAATTCTTGTTAATTCTGTCGTTATGCTACAGTTAGGTCCCATTTCTTATTTGCATTAAATTTTATTATTGGAGCATCTTGAGTCCACCCCCCACCCCCAAATCCCTGTATTTGCGTGTTCAGACCCAGAAACCTCCCTGGTAAATGAATTCACACATGACTCAAATTTTGGTTTTGGCTTTTGGCAGAATTTAGGCCACAGCTTTATTGATTACAGAAAGTGACTGGTTGCATAGGCTCTGGTTCGACTAGCTCCCTGCCATGCAGATAGCGATGAGCACCAGCATAGGTCAGCCAAGGGTGAACACCTGGATAAGCGGAAAACCGGGAACAGGCTAACTCCGCCACCCAAATGCCACCCTGGACTCTGGCATGGGCACAACACCCTCTCAGGGGTTGACCAAACCATTGAGTCCCTGGATTCCTTTAATGGAATACCCTTCACATAGGGATAACCAGCCTATCTGCAACCTTACAAGTTGTGACGATTTGCTACGCGGCAGGCGAAACCCAAATGGCCACAGCCAATCAGCCAAGTGGGGAAAATTCCTGCCGTGCCCCTGTCCCAATGACAGATGACACACAAAGGCATAGCAAGGTCAAGCACAAAACCCTAAAATTAGAGAGATGTGGGTGGGTGTTCCGAATGCACGCGCCAAAACAGGAAGCTCTGGATCACGTGCATGGATATATATATAGGTCCCTTGATCCGTTTGGACTGCGCCCCATTGGCCAGATTGAACCCAACATCGAGGGACCTACCAATTGGGTGTTGTGGCTGACCAATTGTACCCACCCACAACACAGGGGGTCGGTTTTCTAGGTCTCACCACAATACGTGCCCTCTTTAAGGGAGGACCCTATTTATCTACCGTTGTATAAGCAAAGGGAAACTTTCTCCTTCAGGACAAGGGGATAGCAGCTCGCTCCAATACTAGGTGACAAAATGTCCTTGGAATGAAACTGTGATTTTAGCACCTACTTCTCTGAGCTGTTGTGTCAGTCCACATGGCTCATAGCACCAGGCTGTAGGGAAAGATAAAATCAGAGAACGGAAATGTTTGATTCCCTTAAAAATGGCTTTAAAATGTTCCCATTTGCAAGTGGTGATGGGAGAGAGATTTAATGGAGCAGGATTTATGTGGAAAGGATTAAAAGGAAAGACCATAGATATCAAGAGAAAGCTTGGGCAAATTATTCTAATTATTTTTCAAAAGTAAGTTCGTATTTTCAATTATGTTATGAATATTTAGCTATAATAGGAGTTTGACTACTTTCATTTCCGAGTTATTGTTATGACCTTGCATTAACCTTGAAGTTAGCCCATTATCAGCAGAGTTTTAAAAAAAGTTTCTTAAAAAGACTGAATTGAGCAGGGCACATTTCTCAGACACTGTGCATTTTATGTGCTCTTCATGTTTTTATCTGTTTTTTACCATGTTTTATGTAAGAAAGTTTGAAGCATAACTTTATCCTTTGAGTGCCTGTATATCAGTTCTTTTTGTTGAGGTATTAATCTATTTTCTTTAAAGGATTCTTTTCAATTTCATCTTTTCTGATTATTTTTAAAAACTAAAATGTATTAATGTAGATGGGGTTTTGGGGTATTGCAAGGGAATATTGGCTACTTTTTAATGGACAAAGACTCCCAAGTATGCATTGCACAAAATTATCTCCAGTCCTCAAGAGCTTATTACTCTGAACTCAATTATAGCAAGAGTAATTAGCCAGAAGAACAAGCTACATCTAGGTGTGTAAATGTTCTCCATCATATGAAGTCTGTAAAATCAATGCTGAATTGTTATTTTTAGTGCAAAATCTGTTTAACAAAGATGCTATAGCAGAAGTTATGGACTTTTGATTTTAAAATTCATGTTGTGTCACTGCAGTCTTGGTATAGCTCCCTTGATTTCAAATGGAATTTCCAGTATCATTACTCTGAAGTAAGGGTATTTGCATATTGTATTCCCATTAGCTACATCTCTACAACTTGTCTTGTAATCACTGCTCTCTCTCTCCATTCATCTCTGGCCCTGAGTAAATGAGGCAAACGGTGGTTGCAAACAGTAGTCAGGATTGCTGTATGCTACCTTCACGCTGCCTCTGAATATTGATTGCTGGGAAACGACAATGAAAGACCACTGTTGCCCTCATAGCTTGCTTATTGGCATCTGGTCTGCCATGGTGGGAAACAGGGTCCACACATTTATAGCACTGGGGCTTCTCCGAAGGAATTATGAGAACTGTAGATTGTTAAAGGTGCTGGGAGTTGTTAGGATACCCCTCTTCTCCTCAGAGAACTACATTTCTCTGAGTTCCCTGAGGGATTTATTGAAGAACTCTCAGCACCCTCAACAAACTACAGCTCCCAGAACTCTTTGAGGGAAGCCCTGATGATTGTGGTGTCACAGAGCTTTAAATGTACAGTGGTGCCCCGCAAGACAAATGCCTCGCAAGACGGAAAACCCGCTAGACGAAAGGGTTTTCCGTTTTCAATGCGCTTCGCAGGACGAATTTCCTTATGGGCTTGCTTCGCAAGACGAAAATGTCTTGCGAGTCTAGAGATTTTTTTTTCACTTCCCCCCCCCCTTTACCTAATCTGCTAAGCCTTTAATAGCCTTTAATAGCCTTTTAGCAGCTAATCCCCTCAGCCTATAAGCCTTTAATAGCCGCTAAACCGCTAATAGCGCTAATCCGTTAAGCCGCTAATAGGGTTGCTTCGCAAGACGAAAAAACCGCTAGACGAAGACTCTCGCGGAACGGATTAATTTCGTCTTGCGAGGCACCACTGTATAGTGTAAATGTGGCCTACATAATGCTTAGGTCATATCCAGTAGGACTCTTGTGTTCTAGGTCAGAGGTGGGGAGCATCAGGCCTGGGGCGTGAATACGGCCCTCCAAGCTTCTCTTTCTGATCCTTGGGACACACCCTAGGCCACACCTCCTCACCTTCTTCATGCCCACCTTGTTCTTCATGCTCTTGGAGTGCTTTTGCCTAGCTGAAATGTTCTCCTTAACCGTGATAGTGCCTCTTTGCTCCCCTGGATGGAGTGGCATAAGTATGGGTGAGTAGGTATGTGTGTGTGCGCGCGCACACGTGCATGCATGCGCGCGTGTGCGCGCGCGCACACACACACACACACACAGAAACCTCTGATTTTTATGTGACTGGAATATTCTAGTGATTATCTCTTCCAGATAACTTACTGCATTCTCATGTTGGTTCTATCTTACTCAGGTTATTTAGAATAATGGAGCAAATGTCTGGGCGCTGCAGCTTCAGATGTACCCCCAGTCATCTCATCCTGGAGTGTCCTGGGCTATAGGTTGGCAAGACATGACAGCATGAGTCTAGACATAGGCAGGGGTTCATTATAGGGCTTAAATGGAAACACGAAAAAGGGAGAGTGTCCACAAGAGCACTGACTCCACCTCCCGCCCCCAAGCTTTTCGCAAGTTCAAGGTTGGCAGTCTGTATTAGGGAAGCCTCTTTTGCTTGTGGAGGCATCCATGCAATTTGGAGCCCTGTGATCCAAAACACACAGGAGCCACTACAGGTATGGGTGGCTTCTCCATTCCAACAGTTGCCCTTGAACATACACAGGGCCCTGGGGAAGGACTGGTGGTGGAGCAAGTGATCTCCTGCTGCATGCCCAGGCCTTCTTGTGTCTTCCTTTAAGCCCCAGGATGCCTGAATGGAGCTTCTGTAAGTGTGGTCACCTCCATATAGCACGTTCTCACCTGACTGTGTCTTGATGACACAGAGAACCACTTGTGAAAAGAGAAGGTGTGGGGATTGTTAAGCAGAACTTCAGCAAGGGTTTTTTTAATGAGATTCTCCGGGTGACTGAAGCAAACTGAAGGATAAAATCGCATCACAGAGTGATAGGTAACATAATTTCTACAGGAGACTTCATTTAGCACTCTCCACCAATCTGGCTGACCTACAATCAATCAAGGCATGCATTCCTGCAAAAGATCATTCATTTTTTAAATAAAAAATGGTAATTGTTTAAATATTCCGCCGAGCCTGAAAGGCAAGAATACATCAATTAATGTCATGCAGTATACAGGGAAGGTGGGGTAAATGAAGAAAAGAGAAGATCGATGTTAAATATTCAAGCAATCTGTTCTAACGGCGTCAAGGCCAACTTCCAGAGTGTCCTGTCAATCCATCAAACAGCACTGCACATCCAATTTTGTTGCACAGAGGTCCGCAGTGTCAGTTATTATAGAGAGTGTTATGTTAAGGCTGATGGGGAAAGTGATAGCTGAGTTGTATTTTGGGAACATAAATGTGAACACTGTTTTCCAACATAACGGGAGGAATTCAGCATCATGCTAAGGCATGGGCAAAGATTGTGGCTTGCCAGACAGAATGATCCTCTCTTCTATGTGCTGCTCCTGGAGTTCCTGTGATCTGTTTCCACCCCGAACCAATTTCAGGGGTACAGTGTGAGGAGAGGGAAGGGTACCCCATTGTGCAAATGGAAATCTTTGCACAGGGTTTCTGCTGAGGTAACACATTAGTTGAATCCTTCCGTGTGTGTGTGTGTATACATATGCAACTTTTCTTTTTCTATAAAAGCCTGCAATGAAAGCAGACTTCCATTTTTTAAGAAGGACTAACTGAAGATGATCAATTGATTTACTGTTCCTTATTCGGAAGCATAATTCTTGATAGGTGGATATTTGACTGAAATGACAGAAGTTTGTGTGTAGAGAGTAACGCAAGCACAGACTGATAAACCACTAAAGTGACTGATATTGTCCTGAGAAAAAGAATATGGGTTGGAGACAGACTTTGTTTCCAGGTTGGGAGCGTTCCTTGACTTGAGTTCTGCTGGTGGGTTCTACTATAGGTGGTGGAAGTAAGCTGATGTTTGCAAAATCTCCTCACTGTCCTGCAGCCCCCAGTGCCTCTGCCCACTCTGTTAAGAGTTGGGGGCAGAGCCCCCTTCCACATAATCCATGGATTACTGGAACCTAGGACATGTTGTTCATTAGACTTTTTGAGGTGGGCGGGCATATCTATATCCTATAACTGCAAACTCATTCTCTGAATGTGGAACCTTACAGAGCCCAAACCCAATGCTTCCTTTCATTGCTGGCCTTCATTGCTGCTTGCCACACCCAAAACCTGGATTTAGATTTGCTTATGTTGAAGTTGATATTCATGCCAGATGCTGATCACGACTGAGCAGATAATCACCCCATCCGTTTGATTACTGTTTTAAATATATTTTTCATTATCAGTTCTTGTTTATTATCTTGAGCCTACTTTTGAAGGAAGGGAAGGAAATAAATTTAATTGATTGATTGATTAAAACAAAATAATTATTTGTGATGATTAATCGATATGCATTCATGATGGAGTATTCAGTGTCACAAACACAATTTGTTGCGTGCTGGCAAAAGTATTTGCTGGCAAAAGTATTTGAATAGAAACAAACTGCATCTCACATCACTAATGATGGTGTGAACTGGTTTTATGCAAGTTTGGGTGTAGAGAATCCTGTAAAGCTAAAAGACTCCTGGATGGTTAAGTCCATTGAAAGGCACCTATGGGGCATGGCACTCATCTCCACTTTCAGGTCAAGGGAGCTGGTGACTGTCCACAGACAGCTTTTCTGGGTCATATGGCCAGCATGACTAAACAATTTCTGGTGCACAGAACACCGTGACGAGTGCCAGAGTGTACAGAAACACTGTTTACCTTCCCACTGCAGCAGTACCTATTAATCTACTTGTGCTGGTATGCTTTTGAACTGCTAGGTTGGCAGGAGCTGGGACAAAGAAATGGGAGCTCACCCCATCTTGCAGATTTGAACTGCCAACCTTACAATCAGCGAGCCCAAGAGGCTCAGTGGTTTAGACCACAGCACCACCTGCGTCCCACAAGAAAATCCTTTATTGCAATGTAAGTGGAATGGATTTTTTTTGGAGGAGTGTCATTTGTTTTGGTCTAATCTTTACCTCCAAGTTGATGGAAATGGGAAATCTTATTCTTCTCTTCTAGAAACTCATGGAAATAGAAGAGTTATAGTTTGTGAAACTAAAGATGCCAAGGTAGTTATAAATTATATTGCTACTCTCCCATGTCCCATTAAAGCTTTTTTATTGCCTTAATACCTTATTCTGCGTCCAATGTTGCAGAAAGCATCAGACTTTATAGATATAAACTTGAATTTAATGACACTTTTTATTGTTGTATTTGTTTTACTGTTATTTGGTGTTAAATCTTAGTATATTTAATTATTCAACGACTATGGGAGCTCACCACAAACTCACATTCAAGTACTCATCTTCTTTAATTCACAGTTTCTTGGATTTATGGCTCACAATCCTGGCAGACAGTAATATAACATTTTTGCAATTGTTCATTGAGTTGTGCATGCGGCTCTGTATATATTACTAAATTTAATGCAAGCAATCAAAAGAAAGGGGTTCCTGGATGCAAATGATCTCACATTTCTTTAAATAGCCTCCATTTTTAGATAATAGGTTCAGTTCTGTTTCATCTGAAAGACTGATTTCTTGCACAGGAATACTTGTCACATGGCTGACAACAGTTATTTGAAGTGCCACTTATATTGTGGTAGATGGTGACACAGTGGCCCTCATTAATTCATACCATATTTTGAGAAAAATATTCCCAGACTAGGTAGTGGAAACACTTGGAGAGCAAGTATCTGCATGGGTCATGGATTCTTGTCTAAATGTCAGGAAATGAATCTTCTCGCTCGGCAGTTCTGTGGTTCCACCATTTTCGAGTCCCTCCTGATTAGCAATTCAGAAGCAATGGAGATTTAGCATCATGAAAAGAAGAAGTGGAGATGGTCAGAAAACAACATAAATAATGCACTCAATGCTGCCAATACTCTTCCAGCTCAATCCGCTTGTGGACTTTGACTCTATGGCAGCATTTTAAAACTGGAAAGAAAGCACAGAGCAATAGGTCTGATGATAGAGATGCAGCAAATCTCTCTAATAAATGTGTTTGCATGAATCCATCCCAAGCCTCATTCTGCCATCCACAGATAAATAGAGTTCGACTCTAATTTCTGGCACAGCGCATGTGGGGAAGGCTCTCCTAAAGACTGCAACACATGGTTGGAATTCAAAAATCCTCTCACTTTGCAGGCACAGACTTCAGTATTATAAGGATGCTATATAGGACACACAGGAATGCCCTCTGACACTGAGCTCCGGGCCATGCTGAGGATGCCTGCATGGGGTGCCTGCTTTGTGCCCCTTCAAAAATCTATGCCCAGGGCCATGGCCCTCTGGCACAACCCTCTTGTGGTTTCCAGTAACTGGTATTCAGAAGCACTGCATCCTCCAACTGTGGTAGCAAAACGACTGTGGAGGTGGAGCACAGCCATCATGGCTGGTCATCATGGCTGGTATCCATCAATAGCCTTCTCCTCCATGAATTTGTCTAATTGTGATGGCCTGGGAATCGGATTTGGATGCTGAACCTGAGGAATCCCAGCCTGCACAGGATTCCCCGGCTCCAGAACCAGCTGAGCCGGGGCTGGGGCCTGAGCCTGAAGCATCCTCAGGTGCTGGATCCTCAGGTGCAGGCACCAGCTGAGTCTGCTCTGGCCCCTGAGGGGATGGAGGACCCATTGCCTGCAGGTGCTCCACTCTCAGCCCCGTCAGGGGAGGCTGAGATTGCCTCTGGGTCTGGTAACCCTCCAGCCTCTCCTGAGCTGCAGAGGCTCAGGGCAGAGAGGCGGGGGGAACTAAGTTCCCGCAGGAGGAGTGCTCGCCTCCAGGCCAGTCACCTGAGGATCGGGGCCTCCCTATGCCTCAGGGGAGATAAAAGCCAGCCAGCCCCAGTCCCAAGTTGCAGGAGCAACATCGTTGGTTGTCAGTTCCAGCCTGATCCCTGACCTGCTTCCCTGCTGGAGCTCCTGACTTCACCCGATGCCCTGCCCTGCATTCAGCTTCAACTGCTACGGACTACCTTCATATTGCACCATTGACCTTGGACTGGACTCGGACCTCGCCTCTTGGTTAGCCCCCGGGACCAGCACACTAATCCTCTTTTAAAGCCATCAAGGTCAGTGGCCATCATTGCCTCCTATGGAACTGAGTTCTGTAGTTTAACTATGAGCCGTGGGAGGAACTTTCTTTTA